CTCGCTCGAGCAGGAACATCATTCGGGACAGATGGCCGTCCAGTCTCTTCTTCAAGGCCTCCCGTGTTGGAGCCCCCACAAACTTTCTGGTGGCAACTTCTGTCCCGCTGGTTGATTTGTTCTGACTGTCAGGAAGTTTATCCAGAATTCCAGGTTAATTCTTTTCTTTGGTTAAGTTTCCAACCACTGTTTCTTGTCCTGCCTTCAGGGGCTCTGGAAAATAGGCCGACACCGCCCCCCCCCCTTCTTGTTTGTTGCAGACCCTCAAATATTGGAACGCTGCAAACCTGTCACACACACACACACACACACACACACCCTTCTTTTCATTGAACCAGGCAACTGTAATTTGTGTGCTTTAGACTCGGATTTCAGTTGCAGTCGCGTGTCCGTCCCCCCCCGCCGCCGCCTCTCGTGACCTGACGCGTGAACAAGCACCAAGAACCCAGCCAAGTGGGGGCGGAGGGCAGCCGGCATCGGACCCTGCAGCTGAGGTGGGCCTTGAGGAGTTTCGGGATCCAACTTCGCGCCCCTTCGCGCCCCTGACCCAACCTCAGCTCCTGCCTTCCTTTGCAAACCACCATTAAAACACACGTAGGCACGTAGGGGTAGAAGAGGTCATCTAGTCCAACCCTTTGGGGGGGGGGGCTGGGGATTTGTAAACATTGAAATCCCGCCAAGCAACCAGCCCCGCTCGCCCCTTCTCGGGCGTTGGTGGGCGGCACCCGGGGCCGGGAGAAGCGCTGGAGGAGCAGGTCGGGTGGGGGGGGGGGATAGAGACCCTTTGCCCCTCCTGTGAGGAAACGCGCGGATAGTGGGGGGGGGAGGGAGGGAGGGAAGCTTCAAGAAGCACCCGGAGCATCGCTGACATCCGAGACCAAGCGAAGCCCTCCACGCCTCGGTGGTTTTAATCTCATCCAAAGCGGGGGAGGGGTTGGGTTGATTAGAAGCCAGAGCGAGGACGCCCTCCCCCCCCCACCCCAATCTGGGGCTCTGGAAGGGTTTGGCCCAGGACAACCAGCTCTATCCAAAGACCGAAAAGGCCCCTTTCCCTCCCCCCCTCCCCCTCTGGCTGAGGCCTTCCTCTTTTTCAAACCCACAGCCTCCCCCTCCCCCCACCAGATCCCGGCCTGTGGGCCCTCCCCCTCCCGAAGGAGTTTCACTGCCTTTTTTTCAGCCTCTGAAGGGCTGGTGCCCACCTCCGTCAGGAAGTCCCATCATCCCCAGAGCCCATGTGGTTGAGATGTCAGGGAAGGATGGGCTCCGGACTCCTTCCCCTGCAATCTAGCCCAGGACCACCGACTCCATGGTGCTGTTCCACTTCTCTCCAAAGTAGCAGATGTAATCACTGTTGCTTTAACTACTACGGGGCCCCTCCCGACCCACAGCACCCCAGGATTTAGCCTCCCCTCTTACACCCCCCCCCCCACCTTCACACCCAATGGGGCAGAGAAGGTTCGTCCTTTGGGCCACCTCAAAATCTTCCAGGAAACGGCGATGGAGATGCACTTAGATAGAGATGTAAATAAGATGAAAACTGTTGTGATGAGAATAAGGATGTTTAATGTTGATATTATATTGTTACTCGACAAAGAAGAAAAATGGAGAGTTCCATAATGTTTAAATGCTCAATATATTATAACACTAAAATTAGGGAAATAATGTTAATATGAATGTGAAAGATGTGGCAAAAGAGGAACGAGGCTGCACAGAGATTTTTGCAGCCAAATAACACATTTCATAAGGAAAGATGGAATGTTTATTTTTCTAACTGAAAAATAATAAAACTCTTTTTTTTTTAAAGGAAGAACGAAGGTCAAAGCAAACGAATCCACACACGGGAGTCTTTCGCAAGCACTTTGAAACTTTTAATAACTGAATCTTTGCGTATTTAAGCTAACTTGTTCCCTGATTTAACCCACCCCAAAGCGTTTGTAGCCTAGTACATTTTTCTCTCCGCTTTCTCCTTATCTACTTTTATCAGCCTAGGAAGCAGATTTATATTTTGCACCGGAATTTCTATTCTGGCCCTTCTTGGCAAAGGAAGATGCGTCTCCCCTCCCATCTCCCACCCACACGGTTTCACTTCTTCATGGCAGCCCTGGGAGGATGGAGGCCGAGGGGGCCAGTCCAAAGCACTTCGACTTCCATGGGATTTCCCCCCAACGAAGCAGGAGGGGATGGGAAACAATTTCTGCCGCCCCCCACCCCCCAAAAGCACATCTGCACCCATTTCAGCCCCTCCAGCTTTGATTGTTGTTGTTGTTGCTGTTTTTTGCTGCAGGTTTGTGGTGTCCAGTGGGGGGGGGGGAACCAATTTAACTTAGAGAGGGGGCAGCTCCCACCCTGGTGGCAATGAGGCCCAGTGAGGCAGGGGATGGGGTGGGAGGCAATGTAGTGGCAGAAATGGGGCTCAGTCTGCAATCTGCCGCCATCCTTTGGGGTGATTCAGGTGGGGCCCCTCTTCCAGCCCCCCCCCAACCAGGGAAGTCTTCTATGCTATGGTGATTGGGACTGAGGGCCAGAGGAGGAAACGCCTCCCCCAAAAGTGTGCTCAGTTTGGGGAGGGGAGGAACTCCAGGGGGGGGTGTCTTCCGGGTCATGCTGATCCGTGGATGGGGGTGGGTGGGTGAGGAGAGGAGGGTCTCCTTGCTGGGGGCACCTTCAGTCTAAGAAAAAAGAAAAGAAGGGTGATTTCAACTGCAAAAAGTGGGGGGCTGCTTGCTCTGCCCCCCTCCCCAGACAGGACCCTGCTTCCCCCCTCAACTGGCCTCCTCCCACACACACCCCTCCTAACCCCCCTCCTCATTTGGAGAAGCTCTGCCAGTGAGCCAGGCCACAGGTGGAGCAGCGGAGGGGTTCCCGGGGAAGACAGGCCTTCCCTCCCCCCCTCCCTCCCTTCTCCACCTACCGGAGCTCCGGAACCTGAAGGAGAGGGCCAGCAGGACGACCCCCACGATGATGAAGACCCCTCCCACCGCCACCGCAAGGCCGCAGAGGACGTTCTCCAGGAGCTTGGAGGCCACGGGGTCTTTGGGGGCTGCAAGAGAAGCGGGGGTCAGGGCTGGGGAGGGGTCTCTCAGGGCAGCCCCAGAAGGGGAGGGGATGCGGGAGGCTGTGGCTCACCCCAGTAGGCCATGGTGTCGAACTTGCCCCCCAGGCCTTTAACGGTGCAGCTGTAGATGTCCCCCTCCCGGGGCGTCATCTCCACGTAGGAGAAGATCTGGAAGTCCAGCTCCTGGACGGGGAAGACCGGGGTGGAGGAGACGCCCTGGGTCAGCTCCTGGCCCTGGAAGGCCCAGCGGATTCTGGCCACGGGAGGGAAGATGTTTCTCGCAGAGCAGACCAGGACGTTCGGCTGGCCCAGCACAAGGGGACGGAGGGTGAAGATTTCCACTTGGGGGATTCCTGCGGGAGACGGACGGGTCAGTTCCGGGGACGGACGCAGGAAAAACCCAGATCAAGAAGACCCCAGAGAGGCCCCATCTCTAAAAGGCCTTCTGGCACAACACACACCCCTGCTTGACCAGGGAGGGTTGGACTAGATGACCTCTTAGACTCGGTTAATCTATTCACACTTCCCCCCACACGTACCTAGGCCTTAAGGATGGGCAGCCTGTCCTCTCCCCCACCCAAGGGGAATCCGGGAGGGTCTCTACCAGGGAGGCCCCCCATCCAACCAGTCCCTCCCCAGAGAGACTAGAGGGCCATCAATCTCCTTTTGAGGGGTGTTTATTGCACCTTGATTGGCAGGGAAGATGAAGGACACTTTGCGGCTGCCCAGGAACCTTTGGCGGTGCAGAGTTTTAGATGAACAAAAGAAATAAAATAAAGGAAGCGGCCATAAATCATCAGGTNCTGCTGGGAGTTGGGGGGGGGGGCTGGATCCAAAGTTTGAGTTTGGGTGCTGGGCTTTTCCATCCCGTCCTTCGCATCTTCCGTCCTCATCCTCAGGCTGCCCAGCTGTGGATGATGGGAGCTGCCCTGGGGGTCGGTAGGGAGGTTCCTTTGCCTTGCCCTCTCTTGGCTCCACCGAGGCCCATCATCCCTGCCCAAAGGCTTGGGGGCCCCCGTGCTTCAGCTAAGGCAGGAGGGAGCCTTCGGCCGTGCAGCCCCCTTGGGTGAAGAGGGAGGGGGGTCCTGGGGCGCTTGCTGCCCTCCTTGGGGGGTGTCGGCTGGGCCTTCGTCTTTGGGGTGCAAATCCTCCTCCCAGGGGCCCTCCGAGGAGGAGCTGGCAGGAAGCCTCCAGGCCCCACGTGTCTCCCTTTGGGGGAGAATCCTCTCCAGAACTGCCCTGCGCCCCTCACTGTCGCCCCAGTCCATGAGATGAAAGAGCAGGCTCGCTCCCTGGATGGGAGGCCAACAGGAGATCCAGAGTGGCTCCCATGGGGCGGCGTTCAACGAATCTGAGATGCAGCAACCGGATTTCTCCCCTTGTCCCCCCCCCCCCACAGGGAAGCTCTGATAGCCCCCCTCACCTATGCTGGGTGGGAGGGGGGGTCCCTATCAGGTCATCTAGCTCCCCCTCCAAATGCTGCCTTTGATTCAGATTTAACACTGGAGTCTCATTTTAAACCAGGCTCATGTAGTCTTTCTCACTCGGGAGCCTGGGGGCTCACTTCTCTAGGAAGCAGCCCAGTCCCGGCCCCTCTTTGGGTGGGAGGGGGCAGACGGGGGTGTCTTGCAGCTGAGGGAGCACGGAAGCCCTCCTCCCCCCTCCCCCGCCAAGCTCTTCCGGCTTTGAAGAGATTTCATGTGGCTAGACCTTAAGAAGTGAGCTGTGGCAAGGGGGTTTCCTGGCTTCCCTCCCTCTTAGCGGGAGGGGGGAGGGGTATTCCTCACCAGGGAGGGAAGGGGAAGCAGGGGGGGGCCCTCCTCGCTTCCTGTTCTTTCAGGGCTGATGAGGTGGCAGCTTTCAGTAGGCNTACCAATGACGTCCAGGATTTGACCATATATAGACTGAGCAGTAGATTAGAAATTGTACTTTCACAGGCTGTTTTTAACCACATGCTATTGCTCCTCCTGCCTTTGTCCTATCTCAATAAAAGGGGCTCTCAGACCCCCAATCTGGGTCGCTGCATCCCGAGAAGGATTGTGTCCTGTCTTTTCTCCACATTGGCCTCATGGGCGAACCACGGGAACTTCACATTCCCCCTTCCCCACTTGTTTGTTAGCCGCCCTGAGTCCCTCGGGAATAGGGCGGCATACAAGTATAATAAACATAACATATAACAAGCTCTGGTGAAGGGGGGAAGGGGCTTTAATTTTGAAATAGAAAATAATAAAAAAGGAATCCCTCCAGTGTGTGTGTGTGTGTTTTCTCCCCTCCTAGCCCTTCCCCATTGCCTTTTCTTCAAGTCAGTGCCCAGAACTAGAACCAGCGATGGTGGTGGTGGTGGTGTGGGAAGGGGGTTTCCCTCTAGGTGACAAACATGGGGGGGGGTGTCTCCCACTTTTTGGTGAGCAGCAGCTGGGGCTCCGAAGGGCTGACCTCCCTGGGTGGGTTGGGAGGCCAAATCACCCTCCTTCCCCTGCGAGGCCTCCCTTCCGGGACCTGGAAGGTAAGACTGCTGGAAGGGGCCTCTGAGGTCTCCTAGTCCAGCCCCCTCCAGGGCAACCTCCAGGCCCTTTCACAGCAGGGCTCTGCCTCCCACTAGGGATGCGGGAGGGGGGGGGCGCCTTCTGTGTTGCAGAGGGAGAGCCTGGAGGGGGGGGGGTGTTCAGAGAAGTCAAGAGGTCCCCTTGCAGAGAGAAGAAGCTCGGGGACCAAAGAACACGGAAGTCTCTTCACTCTCTCCCAAGCAACCAGCATGGCCACAGGTAGAATTTGCCATTTGACAAAAGGCAGGGAGGAGGCTCCAGGCCCCAAGGGCAGCTTCCCTCCGGAGCCAAGGTGGGGCTGGAGGCTGAGCTGGGCCTAGGCTTCCCAAGGGGCCTCTGGCAACGGCTGCCCAGGAGAATCTGCCAGGGTCTTGGGGAGGGGGAGATCCCGGGGATGCCCCATTGATGGGATTTCCGCTCCCCCTCCAGCCACCCTCCCCCTCCCCCCCTCCAAGGGCAGCCAAGCAACAGAGAAGCAACCCAAGGTGGGGGGGGGGCTATCTTTGGTGTATGTGTGAAATGGGGGAGGGAGCGATGGCTTTGGCGGAGGGGGGTCTGTCCGAGCGGACGGGGGGCTTCGGGGTCCAAGCGCCCCCCCCCCGGCCTCGCCTCCCCCTCCGCAGCGAAGCGCCCCTCCTTTCCAGCCTGGGGCAGAGAAGAGAGCCTGCCCCCCTCCAGAAGCAGAAGTTCCACCTTCAATAGGTGAGCTGGAGGGGGCACCAAGAGGTCACCTAGCCGGACCGGGACTTCCCTTCCCGCCCGCCCGCCCGGCGAGGCGCTTCTGCGGAGGGCGCCCTTGGCAGCCGGCGGGGTCAAGGCAGGACACGGCGTGCCAAAGCGCGAAACCACCTGCGCATGCCCAGAGCGCCCCGGGATACCCCCCCCTCGCAGCCTGCCCCCCCCCGTTGCAGATCCAGGGAGGAGGCCCCGCCCACACCCATCGGCTCCCACGGGACCAGGACTGGGAGCCCGGCGGCGGGCTGCAACAAACCGCGACTGCGCACGCGCCCCGCCGCTCCCGCACCGGTGCGCACGCGCGACTCTAGATTGAGGGGGGGGGAGTGAGGTGGGGCATGCGCAGTCGGCATCTTCGGGCGTCGCGGGAGCCATGCTGATTTTACGCCCAAAGCGGGACTCGGACGGGGGCGGGGGCCGCCGCAAGGGGGCCACGCCGGCGGGCCGTTTTTTCGGCACTCGCTTTAGTCGGCGGCCGGCTGTGCGGCGGGGGAGACGGAACGAACGGTTTCCCGGCGGCATCCGGGCTTTTCGGAGTGACGGCCGCGAGGAGGTCACGTGACGGCGGGGTCCAATCGGAGCGCGGTGACGTGAGGCTTCCCCGCCCGCCCATGGCGGCCGCGGCAGCGCTTGGTAGGATTTTTCGCTTCACTAGCTACATGGAGGACCTATTTTTTCCTCCCCTCTCGCTCTTATCTGCCCCAGGGGCGCCGTCCGGTCAGCGGGGGACGCGGGTTCGGGGCCTTTCGCCTCGGGGGCCCTCCCGCTCCTGCCGACCAATGGCGACGACGCTCGGCGGTCACGTGACGGCCCGGCGGCCGCCTCGAAGGCGCGGAGGGGGGTCGGGGAGACTGAAGGAGCGGGGCCTCAGGGAGGAGCGCCCAACCTGAGGACCGGAGGGGGGGGGATTCATGGAATCGTCGGGGGGGGGGCGGAGGGAGGGGTGATAGAATCAGCGGTCATTCCCCCCCACCCTTCGCTCAAGATGGAAGCGCCCGTGAAAGCGCTGCGTCATGGCGAAGCCCTTCGGCCCCGGGAACCCTCCCCGACCGGAAATGACTCAGGCGCGCCATTCGGTCGCCCTTCCCCGCGGAGCGCGCCGGCTTGCGTTGGAAGGCCGACGGAGGACCCGTGGGCCCCTCTAGGTGAGGGATTGGATCGAGGCGCCCCGGTCCAGCCCGCTACGGCTCAGCATCTTTTGTGCGGCGGCTGAGGGGGAGCCTCGGGTTTTGGCGGGAAGCGCCGGCTGAGGCGAGCAGTGCCCGTTTTCCTGCCTGACGCTTCATTTTGCGGGGTAGGGACTGTTTCGAAGGCAGGAAGGGGGCCGTTGCCGTCCCGCCGCCCTGATTCTCCGCTGTCCAAAATGGCGCCTCTCCCGTATCCCCTCCCTTCCCCCCGCGGAGAGCAGAGAATGACAACAGCCAACGGACGCGCTCCTACTGCCGCCCCGCCCCCGCTCGGCGCGCGGGCCAATCGGGAGGGAACGAATGGCAGCGAGGCCCAATGCGCGGGCCGGCCGCCGGACTAGGGGGCGCTGGAGGGGGCGGAAGGCGGAAGAGTGATTGACCCCAGTTTCGTCCAATCGCGGAGCCCCATTGTCCGGGGTCCCGCCCCATGCGATCTGTCGAGGCTGCGAACGGGCGTGGCTGGGCGGGATGGTGACGTCAGCCCCTGTCTCGGCCAATCGGGGAGCCGCGGGCGTCTATATAAGGGCGGTCAGAGGCAGGCCGATAGGCGCCATTTCGTTGTAGCGAAGGAAGGATCCTGCTCTGCGCGCGAGGAAGCCAGCGCGAGTGCGGGGAAGAGGGGGCGGACTCCATCCGGAGACATCGTCGCCGGCGGGCCCCAATCGCCAGCCGTCGCTGTAGCCACCACTCGGATCCTCCTCCCGGCTTCCGTAGCGGTGGCCGCCCCCGCCCGTCCCGCCCTTTAGGGAGAGCCCGCCGGCCGAGGCGGAGCGCGGCTACCGTAGTCCCCCAACAATCCACTGCCATCCGCGGCGCCGCCCTCCACGATCGGCCCGGCTCCCGGCGCTTCCGGACGCGGCGGCTACCGGGACTTCGCGGCGCCCCGTATTTCGTGCCCCGAGGCAGGCCGGCGTCCCCCCGAGGCCTCGCGAGCGGGAACTCGCCTGCAGCGCCGCGCAGCTGCGGAGGCCGCCATTTTCTGAGCTTTTGCGCCGCTCGGCCGAACGAGGAGCGGCAGGAGGAGGAGGAGGAAGGAGACCCGCGCGCCCCGCCATGCAGCGGCCCCTCCCCGCGATGCGCCTGTGAGCCGCGCGCCCAGCAAGGTGGGGGGCTCCCCCGAGGCCACGGAGGCGCCGGCGGCGGCGGCAGCTGCAGCGGGACCCTCCCGGGAGAGAGCAGGAGGCGGCGGCGGCGGCGGCGCCTGCTGGGGATCGGCGGCGGGGATGCTGCAGAACGTGAACCCCAACGGCAAGTAGGTACCGGCGGCCGGGGACGGACGCGAAGGAGGGAGGGAGGGAGGGAGGAGCGGCGGCGACGGACGTCTCCCTGCCGGCGGGGCTGGGCCCGGCGGCGGGATTGCCTAGCAACCGGACACCTCTCCTGCGAGCCTGCCAGATCGACCCGCTTCGCTCGCGCTCCCGCTCCGTGTGTGGCGCTGCGGTGCCGGGCGGCGTTCCTTCCCGGGCGGCGGCGGCGGCGGCGTTCTTGGCGCTCCTGCCCGGCTCCTCCTCGCCCGCTGAGCGGCCGTCGTTCCCGTCTTCTTGCAGGCTGCTGGGCGAGGGCAATGCGGGCCTGGTGGGCCTGGCGGTGGAGTCGGCTCCGGGGAAGCGGATCCGCAAGCCGTCGCTGCTCTATGAGGGCTTCGAGAGCCCCACCATGGCCTCCGTACCGGCCCTGCAGCTGGCCCAGGCCAACCCGGCCCCTCCCGAGGTCTCCAACCCCAAGAAGCCCGGCCGGGTGACCAACCAGCTCCAGTACCTGCACAAAGTGGTGATGAAAGCGCTCTGGAAGCACCAGTTCGCCTGGCCCTTCCGCCAGCCGGTGGACGCGGTCAAGCTGGGGCTCCCGGTAACCGGCCTTCCTTCCCCGGTAGGGGGTTGTGCGGGGGGGGGGGGCATGGCCGTGCTTGTTGAATGGTTCCTGGATCTCCCTGCGTGGCTGGGGCAGAGCTTGGGGTGGTCAGGAGTGGCGCTGGTGTCGGGTCCATCATCTGCTGCCCTGTCGGCTTTTTGGTCTCGGGCTCCGTCTCCCCCTCCAGGATGCCATTACCCTCAGCAGAGTGACAGTCAGTCAGGGCCCTTGCGAGTTGTTAGGGTCTCCCCCACCGAAAGGCTTCTGGGGGGCTCCGGTCCTCCTCCTCCTCCCTCATGTCCCTACAAAGGCATGGATGAGAGGATGCAGCTACGTCTGCGCCATCCCCCCCGTCTAATCTCTTCTGACCTGAATGCGTTTTGCAGATTCCCATCCATGACTTTGTAGAAGACATCAAGCGGGGGCCCCCAAATTAACGGTCGGCACCTAAGGAGTTAAAGCCCAGAGGTAAAATCTGTCTAGGTTTCTGCTTGCCAGCTTGTTTCTGCGCACCAGGGAGATTTCGTGGCAGGGCAGTCCTTGCAAGTAGGGTGGTCCTTGCCAGGGGCTGGGTGGGTAGGAGCCTTTTCAGGTAGAGGCCATAGATGTGCCCCCCAAGGCGCGGGTGGGTGCGTGTTTTTGCCGGATTCTCACCAACTTTGAGAGAGCCAGGCAGGGCGTCCGTGATCCTCTTGTGCGTGTTGCACTAGGGCTGCTTATTTGCAAAGTTTGCTAGACAGTGAGGGCGGGGGGGGGGGGGGGAAAGGGGCCCCGGGGGGGGGGGGGGGGGGGGGGGGGGGGGGGGGGGAAACGGGACCCTGGGGTCTGGCTGCGCGAGGAGCGGCTGCGGTGTCCCTGATGGCCGGGGCCTTGCCTGTGCCCCTCTCTGCCTGCAGGACTACCACAAAATCATCAAGCAGCCGATGGACATGGGCACCATCAAGCGGCGCCTGGAGAACAGCTACTACTGGAGTTCGGCCGAATGCATGCAGGACTTCAACACCATGTTCACCAACTGCTACATCTACAACAAGGTGAGCCTGCAGATGGAGGCGCCCCTCCCTGGTGGCTGCTCCTGGTCCTTCAAGGGTTGAAGCTGTGGACTTGGGTTGACTGGTTTGCTTTAAATCCGGTACGCCAGGCACCTTAAATACCTTGTGTGCTGGGAGTTTGTCCAGCAGGTCAGTTCTGGCGGAAGTTGCTTTCTTCTTCTAGCGCAGGTCAGCTGTGGGAGGCTGTTTCCCTGTTGTACGTGTGTGTGTGTGTGTGTGTGTGTCTGGCTCAAACTTAATGTGGGAGTCCTTTGAGAATAAGAACAGTAACCTCAGAAGGGCCGATTGCTGAATCCCCGTTCCTGGAGGCTTTCGGCTAGGCAGCTTTAGCGTCTTTATAGGCTAGCTTCATTTTTAAGTTACGCCTGAAGGTTTTCGGTCGGAAAGTGGTACTGAAGTGGTCACAGCGTCCGTCCTCAAAGCTTTGCGCCGTCTGCCCCTTGGCCTCTTTTTTTGCTGACTGTTGCCCGTTGCAGCCCACAGACGACATTGTGCTGATGGCCCAGACGCTGGAGAAGATCTTTCTGCAGAAAGTGGCCCAGATGCCTCAGGAGGAGCAGGAGGTTGTCATCACCGTGGCCAAGAACAGCCACAAGAAGGGAGCATCCCGGGCAGCAGGTAACAGAGAGGCGCCGGAGGTCCAGGCACTACACGCCCCATGGGGTTGGCGGAGGGGAGAACGCCCCCTCCCCAGGGGAAAGTTTTGAATCTTCCCTGCCTTACAAGTGGGGGTGGGGGAGAGGCACTCCTGGCTTGGGAATGGGGGGCAGTGGGGATGATGAGCTTGTTCCTTCGGCTAACCTGTGGTGATTTCTTCCCCAGCCCTCCTGGCAGCAGCCAATGCCGCTGCCCAACAGGTTCCGGCCATCTCTTCGGTCTCCCACACTGGGTTGTTCTCCAGCAGCACAGACATCCCCACCACGATCATCAGCATCCCCCACCCCTCCGTCATCTCCACCCCTCTCCTGAAGCCGCTGCACTCCACTGCTGCCTCCCAGCCGCTGCTGGCCGTCCCTGCGCCCACGCACCCGGTGACCAAGGTGAGCTCGGAGCACGGTGCACGCGGGGCACCGGGGTCGGCTAGGTAGGAAGCCCGGTAGGTGGCTGCTGTTCGGGCTGCTGTCTCCAGGAAGAGCAATGTGTGGGGTCAAGTCGGCACCCCCAACTTACAGCACTCCCTGGGAAATCGACAAAGCTGTTTGTTGCCATCCACAGAAAAAAGGCGTCAAGCGGAAAGCGGATACCACGACTCCCACGCCCACGGCCATCATTGCCACCAGCGGGGGAGAGTCTTCCCCCTCCGCTGCCATCTTGGAGGCCAAGGCGGCCAAGATTCCCGCCCGGAGGGAGAGCGGGCGCCCCATCAAGCCTCCCCGGAAAGACCTGCCGGATTCGCAGCAGCACCAGACGTCCAAGAGAGGCAAGCTTTCCG